CGACCAAATGGCGTATTAAATGTCGTCAAATAAGAGCTCTCTTCGTCAAGTGGCATTTGCCAAAATCCAGAGTTCGCATCCAGTTTACTGAAGAATTTGGCGTCTGTCAGGCGGCTTGTAATATCTTGCTGTGTGGGGAGTTGGTAATGCTCTCTGCGCAGAGATTTGTTGAGATCTCGTGAATCAATGCATATACGTAATTTTCCCGAGCGTTTCTCGTTAACTACCATGGAGTTTACCCATGCCGTGGGCTCGTTGACTTTCTTAATGATCCCCCTGGATTCCATTTCTTGTAGTTCGTTCTGGACTCGATCTCTCAACGCTGAAGGAAGCTTACGAGGTGGATGAACAACAGGCGTTGCGTCAGGGTTAATCTTAATGTGACAAGGGTCTGATATGCGTCCTAATCCGTCAAAGCATTTGAAATATTTCTCGAATATCTGTTCACTCGTAAGTCCGTTTAGTGAACTTTGAGGTGACGCGTCGTTAATTGGCTGGTTGCGCAGCTGGTCTACGTTATGAAATGTTATAAGTTTCATACTTTTACAGTTTGTACATCCGAGCAAGGATTTGCCCGTCTCGACCACTTGAAACTCGAGTATTTCAGTCGCTCCTTTGAATTGACACTTTAAATAGCATTTACCGATGACAGGAATGTTATGGCCCCCGAAAGCGGCCAGTTTTGCGGCGCTCGTTTTGAGCTTGCTACGACGTTGTCGTTTTGGAACAGCGGCTTCGAAATCTTTCTTTGTTAGAACGTTTGTCTCGGCTCCGGAGTCGAGTTTTATGCGAATTGTCGTGTTGCTAATTTTAAGAGATGCATGTTCTTCGTCATTGTCACAGCTGTCTTCACCATATCAATTCCGTGCGTCGAGAAGTCGCTTTCATAATCTACATCGTGAACCGATTTCTTTGGGTTTTTAGCTTGTGATCGACATAGTTTGGCAAAGTGTCCTAGCTTTTGACAGTTATTGCACTTTTTCCCATATGCAGGGCAAGATTTTGGCTCGTGAACTCGACCACAATTACCGCAGGATTTGTTTGGGGGTTTTCCGTTTTCCGGTTTGTTGTTGTGGTTGCGAAAATTCCCTCTGTAATTGTATTTTCGCTGGTCTTTCCCCAATGCGTCGACATTAATAATAATAATAATAATAGTCTTTATTAAAATACTCAGATACATCCGTCTGAGTTTACAATCGAAAGGTAATTGATCTAGTTATATTTACAATTGTAAGTTAAGAAGCGTAAAAAGTTTTAAAAAGTTTTTAATAGATTAAAGTCTAAATAGATTAAAGTCTAAACAAAGTTATACAGACAACGATTTATGAACGACCTTTTGAATCTTTCTGTTCTCACTAGGGGGAGTTCATACTCATGCCCCCTAGGCCTAAGTAACCTACTTCTTTTTTCCGGCAGCAGTTCAAGCAGTGCATTGTCCTCAGTTGATGTTATTTTGTTCCACAGTTTCTTATCTCTCTTATCACGTATTTCTTTAATGTGTGTTCGTTTTGATATATAACCATTCTTATGTGCACGTTTAATGAATTTATCTATTTGGTTCAAATATTTACCGTCGTATGCACAACCCCACAGCTCAATAGCAAAAGTGAATATCGACATAATTAGGCTATCAAACAGCAGATCTAATTGTTTAATTGATAGTCCATAGTATTTGCAAACTCTCATAATGTATATTCGTCCACTTGCTTTTTTGAGCATTTCTTCAAAGTGCAAATCCCAGTTGCACGGGTTATCTTGTAGAGTAACTCCTAAAAGCTTTAGCCATGTTTTTCGCTTAATTGAAGGGATAAGCTCGGGCAAAACTACAGAGGTGTGTCTGCGAACAACCATTTCGTACGTTTTTTCCAACTTTAAGGGCATTCTATTCTCTTCCGCCCAATCCTGTAAACAGGCAGCTTCAGATCGAGATGTGTCACCACTTTCGTTGCCAGGCACTCCTAACGTCAAATCGTCAGCAAATTTGACTAACGCATTACTAGGATCAGCAGTTTTAATATCATCAACCATTATTGAGAAAAGAACTGGGCCTAAAACAGTACCTTGAGGAACACCACGATTAATATATAAATATTCTGTAACCATTCCATCAACCATTACTCTTTGTATTCTATTTTCTAGAAAGCTAATTAACCAGTTCACCACATACGGATTAATGGGTAGCTTTTTAACTTTTTCAAACAAAAGATCGTGGGGCACACTGTCAAATGCTTTGCTGAAATCGAACGACAGCACTCTAACATAATTAGCGTTTTTATCCAGCCACTCTAGCCATTGATGTTGGGATTTAATCAGAGCCATAGTCGAGTTGTGACCCTTTTTATAAGCAAATTGGTCAGGACCAATGTTATTTCTTGTGATAGGTTCGATTTCAGATTTATACACGCACTTCTCGAATAGTCTCATGATGATGTCCGTCAGAGAGATTGGTCTTAACTGGTTACACGAATTTAATGGTGATTCTTTAGGGAGTGGTAATAAATTAGCGGATTTCCATTTCTGAGGTACTTTGCTGGTTTTTAGTGACATGTTAAAAATTTCTGTGACAATAGGAGCTAATTCAATAGCAAACGATTTCCAAAACCAATATGGCAGATTGTCCGGACCCGATGAAGAGCGTTTTTGATTGCGTAAAAGATGTTGAACTTCATGAATTGACAACGAGGGAACTCTTGTTCCTTCGGAGATTTGAAGAGGCTCGGGAGTCGTATAATTTGGGTCTGTATTCACACTTTGAAAATATTTGTTCATTTCACTAGGGTTAAGAGAAGCACTTACTGATACATCATGTTTCTTTTTTCTCGATGTAATGCTATTTACGTTAGACCACCAACTTTTCGATCCAGTTTTCTGGTTGCCAAACTCCTGTTTGACTGCACTTAATTGATTTTCCCGAATTAACTTGTTGATTTTTTCTTGCAATCGTGTATTTGCTTCAGTATTTCCGTTTTGTATGGCTCTTTTCCTTTGATTCAGAAGGTGGTTCACAAGAGGAGACATGAACGGAGGGTCGCGTGATGACGTTCTGACCTTAATTAGTGGGAAGCTCTTATCGAATTTTGGCCATATTATTTCATAACATTTTAGGGTTATCTCATCTAGGTTATGGCTATTCATAATTATCGTGTTCCAATCAATAGATTCAAGTTCACGAAGCATATTCAATTGATGATGTTGTCTCACATCTCTGAAATAGGAATTTGTCCTTGTTGCTTTAACTATGTTTCGGGGGTATGTGATAACCATATCATGGTCGGATCTCACCAAGCTTTTTACAACTTTAACAGATTTCCAATAGTTTGGGACATTTGTAATAAAGACATCTAATATTTTTTTTGGCGGAACTCTGATCGCTTAGCGGCTTCACTTGCTTGCGAGATACTTCGGATGCTCGGCATATGTCCACGGTTTTCTGCAGGGTTAACTCGAATTCACGAAGTAGACGTTCTTTAATACTTTGGTTACGAATTCCACAAATTATCCGGGCACGAATTAGCCCATCATGAAGTGTCTCAAATTCACATGTTGCTGCGAGAGTGCGCAAAACAGTCACATACTGGTCGATGCTTTCGTTTTCTTCTTGATTCCGTATGTTGAATTTGTGTCGTTCGAACGTAATGTTTTTTTCTCGGGTTACAGTAGGTTTTAAACGCTGATTTTAGCTCGTTTGTTGTTCTCTTCCACGTTGTTACACCCTCTTGGTTTGTCTCTGTTTCTGGCGTTGCGAACGTCAAGGTCTTGTGAACTTCTCGGCCTTTCTCTCCAATGCATAAAAGAAAGTATGAGCATCTTTCCTCTTCAGACCGTCCTTTCAGCTCAGTCTTCTCGAAGAGCGTCCAGTGCTCCTCAAACTTGCGAGAGTTTTCACTGACGTTCCCGTCTAATTTCAAAGGTTTAGGCGCTGCCCATTGAAGGTTTCCTGATGCCATGTTTACTGCTTTTTATGGCATCCCACTCCTGACACCATGTAATGCTTCTATGTGCTTATAGAAGATTTATTCATAAGTAAAAGATACACGTCTGATTATGTCTATAGGTGTTCTAGCGAGTGTCCTTGAGGTTCCTATTACAATTACATGTGCTAATGATTATGATATGAACTGTCAATCAACCTAATTGATATATATATATATATATATATATATATATATATATATATATATATATATATATATATATATATATATATATATATATATATATATATATATTATATACAGGGTGTATCAAAAAAAGTAAGACAATTTTGAAATTGCTCTCAATTCCACAATTCTGTTCATGAAATGTAATTTTTTATATGTATGGATTGCTTGAGTTCTTAAATTATGGAAAATATAAAAACATTTGAAAATAGTAAATTTTGCTATCCAGGGGGGTGGTCAACTTTTGCTCTCCTAAAAGTGGCTTGCGCACGGAAATGACAAACTGTATTCTTTATTTGAGTTCATGTATGAAAAGTTTGCTATTTGTTGCATTTATGATAAAATTTCGGCAGGATTTTACCGAGTACAAATCCTCCGAAAAGCCTATGAAAACGTTACATTTTTCTCTGTTGGTGCTGTTTTTGCTTCATTATGAATTCATTTTTACTCCCATGAGAGTTCCGTGGAATTTCCATTCGCACGTGAAGGGCATCGTACATCTGGATATTCTTTCGTGAAACTTTGGCGAACCAAGTTTATGTTGTTGCTACGGAGGATCTCTGATACCATGCATAAAAGCTCTCTGCTGCGGGGTAAATTGTGGCATCACCATTTCAAAGTGTACGGGGTATTATACAAGAAAATGCGTTTCAGCACAAACAACTCGAAAGCAAAAATTCCATGGAAATTCCATGGAACTCTCATGGGAGTAAAAATGAATTCATAATGAAGCAAGAACAGCACCAACAGAGAAAAATGTAACGTTTTCATAGGCTTTTCGGAGGATTTGTGCTCGGTAAAATCCTGCCGAAATTTTATCATAAATACAACAAATAGCGAACTTTTCATACATGAACTCAAATAAAGAATACCGTTTGTCATTTCCGTGCGCAAGCCACTTTTAGGGGAGCAAAAGTTGACCACCCCCCTGGAGAGCAAAATTTACTATTTTCAAAATTTTTTATATTTTCCATAATTTAAGAACTCAAGCAATCCATATATAGCAAAAATTACATTTCATGAACAGAATTGTGGAATTGAGAGCAATTTCAAAATTGTCTTACTTTTTTTGATACACCCTGTATATGAGCATATATTACAGATGATTCGGCCAAAGGTGGAAGTAATCGATGCCTTGATGTGATCGGCTCTGGACATGATACCCTGGACATAAACAGTGAGGAACCACTTGTACTTGGGAACTGGTACAAACTTGGGGAGGCCCTTCGAACTCTTGGGCTATAATCAGACCACTCTTCGAGGCTTCGATGAAATATTTGCAGTCGGTCAAATACTGCATGCTCTTCTGCAGCCATTTCTCACTCTGCTGTTCGGACATTTTCTTTTGCAGTACGTGTTAGTATGTTAGGACTTAAGACAGCAATTAGCTTCTACCAGACATTGATCATGAATGACGTTTACGCGTTGATTGATAAATAATATGTATGTAGCGCACATGTGTGGCGCAATAAGAAAACGTTTACAGTCAACGAAGTCAGATATATAATTTGTATACTAAGTGTTTTATACACTATTAAATAAAGACCTTTGGAGTTAATTCCTGCGTTATTGGCATCAAAG